GACAGAGGCCTGGTTCAGTGAATTAACGTGCATGCATACACATGAATATCATACTCGTCTTAAAAAGAGTGAAGCAGCTCTTTTTATGTTGTTACAGAAAAAGCTCAAAGATCTATATCCTCAAAGGGAAAACAACAGGTGCAAAAGCATGTAGATACATTTATATGGGCTTGTATGTCTGTAAAGTATCTCCAGCAGCATACACAAGAAACTAGTAACAGTGACTGCCCACAGGGAGGGGGAGTAGATGGAGGAGGACAAGGGTAGGAGAGAAACTGCCCACTATATATCCTTTTATGGTTTTGGATTTTTGAACCATGTGAATGAATTAGCAATTTAGAACCAATAAATAGGTTGTTTAGGGCTCAGATCGCACTTTCTTGCACAGCCAATTCTATACTTAGATCCTGAAAAGCCTACTGAAACTATGAGTCACTGATCATAATTAAACATTTTCATGGGAACTGTATTCAAAAAGCCTAAATCTGGGATGGCAGTGTGGGGATTTATGAAGACCTCAGGAGAGGCTGAGCTTTGTCTACCTGAACCCAGAAGGGGCACATTTCACCTGCTCTTGCCATGATCATGTGCTCTCCCAAGGGGCAGTACCAGCGTGTGGCTGTGCAAAATGGAAAGGATCTCAGAAGAGAAGGGTTTGTTTTGTCAGAGGGAAATGAGAAGCAAGATGCTGCCTCTTGGTGCCAAGCAGGGCATCCATGTGGAGGGAAGATGCAGGTTGGGGGGTGGGCACTGAGGCTCATGTGTACAGCTCCTTGTTGGGGAGTTGGCTAGTGACACAGACAGACAACGTGCCATGACGGAGTGGTCCTAAAGGCCACATGAAATCTTGTCCCTCCTCATCATTTTCAGAAAAGGAGGCTTGGGCTCCAGAATACTGCTGGTGGCTGACCCACACGGCATTAGGCAAAGTGAGGGATGAATCCGAGTGAGCAAGCTTGAGGAGGGGGATACCCGGGAGGCTTTGCTGTCTGCCCAGGAGGAAGTGGGATGGACCCGAACAAGGCTGGTGGAGGAGAAGAGGAAACGCTTATAGGTTAGATGGGAATTATTTGACTAGAACTGGTGGGCGAGCCCTCCTTGGATTCACAAGCCAAATGAAGAGAATTTCTAGCCTTTGTGTATCAGCCAAGACTCCACACCACCATCATAAATTCACAGATACTGAACCATCTGAGGATGCTGCCCTCCTAACCCCGCCTTGGGCTTCTCCTGGCTCCTCGGGCTTCTATCCTTCTACTCCATTTAGAAAAGAAAGGAAGGAAGGCCAGAAATGGAAAGAAAGAAGAGAAAGAGAAAAAAAAGAGAGAAATCTCTTATGTGTAGCTCTTTCTCAAGAACCCTCCCCTTGACCCTGACATCTGAACTCTCCGTGATGGTTCATCCCTCTCCCTTCGTTCTTGGATCACTGCCTCTCTCTCCCCACTCAGATGACACTCGAGATAATATTCATCTGAGAAATCAGATTCTTTTGAAAACACAGGTTCCCATTCCTGGGCACCAGAGGATGAATTTCCCAACAAAAGGGTTCAACTCCCCAGTCAGTTGCTTGTCATCCTCGGTCAAGGTTAGAGAGAATGTCCGGCAGATGAGTGGGCCTGCAAGCGAGAGGCAAGTGCACAGGCCCCGGCTTACAGGAACTGGTGACAAATCCAAGGGTTCCAAGAACACAAAAGGCCTCGGGAGGAAGTTACAGCCTGGGTGTGATAAGAAAGGCCAGTAGCTCCTGCACTAGGCTGGACAATTCTAGTTTCTTCTGACTGATGTAAGCATAAGTGACAGTGTTAATAAGAGAAATCATCACAGCAAAAAGAATTCAATGAAGAAAAAACCGAAGCAGCCCTTTGCTTCATGGCCTTATCATCCTTTTAGTAAAGAGAATGGTGCCAAAAGACCCAAGCAGAGCAGTGGCCAGGAGGAGAGGACAAACAATGGCTTATTAAAGGGAGACACGTGGAAAGATCAGTTCCTGAATTACTGAGTGTTGACTGTCTTGGCAACTCCGTTGGCTCCAGAAAGAACAAAGGGGTTGTGATTTTTTAAATTCCATTTATTTTAAGAAAAGAATGTTTGTTTGTTTACTAATTGTGTTTAGAGTAATCCTTAGTGGAAAGAGTGGGTAAAAAATGTCTTGGATCCTGCAAAATCAGTTGCAATGTTAATTTAAAACACACATGCATGAAAACGGGAGCAGGTGTGTGTGTGGATAAATGTCCTGAGGGATCTGTGGGCCTTTTCCATTCTTCCACTTTCGGGAAGTGCGCATGTGCTGGACTTCCTGTTTCTAGCTCAGCTGTCACGTCCTTCAAGGACATCCTAACTTCTGATCATTTTTGCTTTGTCTCAGTGTAGTATCCACATGCCCTCCTTCCTAAGCACCTAGACTTAGCACCACTGCATCACCTGGGCCCCAAGCAAAGATGCTCAACGATTCCTCCTGAGTCTGAACCCACAGTCCAGGGAAGGATGTTCCACTCTGCCAAGACCCCTCCTCCTCCACCTCACCATCTCCCGGGTATTTTTCTCTGCTGCCAACAAGGGAAAGATAACTCCATGCTGATAAGCCTGGAACACTGTGCTTGACCCTGGGCTCCACCTGGAGAAGGGATAGAAGCTACCTGGGACACGTTTCTGCATGTTCTGAGGCATCCAGCTGGGAGAGGAAGGAACTTGGTCATTCATGCACGTGAAGCAGCTTACAGACAAGTCAGATACCTGGGAAAATGAATCTCTAGGGATCTAAAGGATTCATTTTAAGTGTAAAGAAAAAGATTAACCTGTTCTTTGGGGCCTGTTCTTTGGGTTACTAAGCAGAAGCTACAGAGAAACAGATTTTGGTTTCTCCAAGGGAGAACCCACATTTCTCTAAAGATGGAATGTGTTGTCATGAGGAGGGGATGGCGACCAGGGAGTGGGGCCGAGGACCTCACGTGGGGCAGCAGCCATCCGTGGCTGGGCCTCCCCACTATTGAGTGGCAGGTGGTGGTTCATCCCTGTTGGGTCTGAGTTTCCTATGCAAGAACATTGTCCCTGCTAATTTCTTCAAGGCCCCATGTCTCGTTCACCTGTAAAAACTCTCAGAGACTTCCCCAGAAGACTTTCCATTTGAAGATGGCTGTTTTTACTCATAAAGCGATGACCAGCCAACCTTCTGTATCAAAAACACTAAAATATGACTACAGTGTGAACATTCATGCCAGGTCTGTGCAGACTTCTGTAGGAGGGCTTCTCTGGGTTAGACAAAGAATTTTTAAATTCAAGGGGAAAAAGTCATAGTATTAGAAATCCAAAATTGAACTTAAGTGATAATCTAAGACAAATAAATGTAACCAGAGAACACCTGATAAACAGCATCCTGAAGGGATGCTTTTCATATTTTTAGTCTGTGCACTCCACCCCTGAGAAGATAAGATACCTTTTCTATTTTTAGATTCTTATCCTTTCCCCACATCAAAACTGAGGGCATAGCTATATGCTGCAAGACTGTAAAACTGTGTGCATAGTTCCCAGCTGCCTACCTGTCATGCAAATGAACTTACAGCCAGACGGAGCTGACTGTATTTTATAGACCCACTCAGAAAGTCTATGATTCACTTCACCTTCAATCATTTATAAATGGACTTCTCACTTATGATTCAGCTACAGGTTGTATTTATTTTTCTTTTACAACCCTGATTATAGAGAAACCCACAAATACCATCCGGGAGACTCGCTGCTAATTTACATACACTCCTCACATTTATAGGATCTAATTGTACTATTTGAAAGACTTTTAGAGGCAAAATTGGAAGATAGAACATCCACCTCACAAAGTATCAAGTCTGCCCTTTTGAAGAGAGGCTATTACACCCTTTCTCTCTTTTAAAATGAGTTACTGGGGAAGATGCAATATATGGACATTGATCCCTGGCAGGCAGACAGGTTTTCTCAAAATGTCTGGCTCATTTATCATGACTGGTTTTATATGGGCTCAGCCTCAGGGCTGGTCAGAAGGACCAAGGCAGGCTCTCTAGTTTGGAGGATATGAATCAAAAAAGGCCATTATAATAAATTATTTGCATGCTTCCATAACTAAGGGGTCCCACTTGATCTGCAAATCTGCAAGGACAACATGAGTACAGGAAGGGAACCTGACCCCAAAGTTTTCAGCATTACTCAGTAAGGATATTCCTTCTAAACTCTGCTGACAAGAAAGTAACTTGGAAAGTCGCTTAGTGGTTCACACACAAAGAAACCTATTTCAGTCGGTGATTATTCTCTGAAAACTCTAGCTCCAGTAATAGAAGTGACCCAAAACAACAGGCTTGATAGGTGTCCAGAAATTTAGACTCTGATCACTTGACCCACATGACCTTAGAGAACCGAGTTCCTCATCCTTTGTCTTTAAAGCACATCCTCAAATTTAGGCCCCTTAATACTCTATTTTCCCTAATGAGGAGAAGGAATAGATATGGGGTTTCTATGGTCTTCTCCCACCCTGCTTGGGCCCTCAACAATCCATGCTCACTGAGCAGGCTGAAACATGGCTTCTCTGCATCAGACCAGCACTGGGTGTATTTGGAACCTGGCAGTGACCATTCCACTCTCACATCCATGCAGGCTCTCCTGGTTATGTGGGCACAAACATTGGTCCAATGAATGAACGCATGTTCCCCTCAGACCAGGCTGAGCTCTTCTGTGAACAAGAATTAGGTCTTCTTCATCTATTTGCCTCCATTTGCACATGGCATACAGAGAACTTCAAGTTAAGAAGTTAGACCTGCTGGACCTTCCACCATAAGACACGAGTTGGTTTGCATCAATCCCCACTCCCAGTCTACGGGGCACCTCTAGGAAATGGCAAATTTAAAATGCCTGGTTCTCTAAGGAACTTACACTTGTGAATATTAGTTGCTAACCTCTGAGTGCTTGCTGCAGGCCAGGAGGGCAAATATTAGAACACACTTCTTAGGAAATAATCTTAGATTAAGTTTGTATCTTAGGTCAATCTGCCAAAACGGGAGGACTGCCATGGCAATGGGAGAGAACGGAATGCCGTTCCAGACTGTCCTGAAGTCCAACAGCACCAAGAGGAAATGATACACTATGACCTCAACATCGGTGAGACACATTCTTGTCAAGAACCAAGAATGAGTAAAATGGTCCCAGATACCAGCCCTGTTAACTCTAACTCACTAGGACTTCCCAATAGTTCTGTTCTTCTGTTCTTGTCAAAAAAAAAAAAAAAAGAAAAAGGAAAAGAATCTCAAAAAGGATTTGAATTTATATAAAAGAAAAGCCAAAAGATTCAAATTTTGAAGTCATAAAAGCCCCCTGAGTCTCAAGGAGAAAAACAAACATCCTGTTCTTAGAAAACTGCATTAAGTGCTGTTAATGCTTTTCCCAGAGGAAGCACGTGCATGGGACTGTGTACAACCTCATGGTTTTCGCAGGGGACAATAGCTACCCCCCTTCATTGACACTTCACTTCCCTCCTAACTTTCTGAAACTAAGAACCCTGTGTTCCTTACATGGAATGTCCTCCCACCTTCTTACCATCAACCACTATTTGTAACATCCTCCAAGACCAGCAGTCACTTCCTTCCTGGAGGAATTCTCTAACACACCTCACACAATCCAGGCTCAGCACTGCCTTGCTTGGAGGTTTTCTTAGGACTCCTGAAGAGCTTATATTTCTGTTATTTTCCTGTTCTCTGGTTTTGTGATTTTATGTCTGTTATCTCCAGGTAGGGATTAAACTCAGTGGTAGGGATTAAACTCAGTAAGAATAAGGTGGGCAGAGGTGCTCCAATTTTATTGAATGAGCTCTTTGTTTTCCCTCTGCCTATTCCCTAAATTGAGGGTCTACAAGTTACAGTTGGTGGGCCAAACCGACTTTTTGTAAATAAAATTTTATTGGAACACATCTGTGCTCATTCATTAATGTATTATCTAGAGCTCAGTGGTTCTCAACTGAGGGTGACTTCACCTCCCAGATGACATTTGACAATGTCTGGAGATATTTTTGATTCTCATAACTGGGGGTGGTGGTGCTCAAAACTGGGCATCTAGTGGGTAGAGCCAGAAATGCTGCTTAACATTCTCCAGTGGATAGGACAGCCCCCAGAGCAAAGAACTGCCTGGCTCCAATTCTAAGTAGTGCTGAGGTTGGGAAACCCTGGAAGAGATGATTTCATATTACCAGGTCAGAGTTGAGCAGTTATGACAGACGGTATGTGGCCCTCAAAGTCTAAAACACAAAAATGACTCTTTACAGAAAAAGTTTGAGCCCCTGCCTTTGACATTGGCATTTCTAATAGGGTTAGATGGTGGTTTTCCATTCCTCAGCCCTCAACAATCCCCGGCAAAAACACCCCTGCACATGGCTTCAACTACTACCTCTAGTTATAACATCCAAATCAGTGTTTTCAGCCCACCCAAACTCTAGACCAGTCTACTCCAAGTAGGTCTGTAGCTCAGGGCCAGTCCATGCTGAGGTAAGTAAAGAAACTGAAAGTAAGCTGCTAGAAACTTTTCGTTACTGCCATAACAATCAAGCTTGCTGCCCTGCATCTCCCACCCCCACCCCACCCTGCTCCAATTCCTGACATCAGTTCTGTGTCCTCTGGTCCATCCCACTGTCCCTGCCTTACTTCTAGCCCTTTCTGTCTCCTGCAGGAGGGGCATTTGCTCCCCGCCCACTGTTTCCTTGCCTCCAACCACATCTCCTTCCACTTTATCTTCCAATCTATATCAGAGTGAGCCTTCTAGAATGCTCAAGAAACCTTGTTACTCTCCTCAATGGCAGGCCCGCCCTTACAGCCTGGAGATAAGACAGCTTGGGAGGTCCCCTTTAGCAAGCTGGGTCCTGCCCATGCCTGCAGCTACATCTCCTGCCAGTTTCCCCCAAAACCTCTAAAACCCAGCTCCTAGAGTACCTTGTTCATATCTCAAACCTACCAGCTCTCCTACTATCTCCAATCACTACTTGTTTCTTCCCCACTAGGCTTCTGGGAAGAGACTATTTAATTCATAGTTCGCACTAAATAAATGTCTGTTGAATGAACAAACAAATGAGAAAGTCTTAAAGAGACTGCCTTTACTTCCTTCCTTTTCAACCCTGCCTGCTCTGCTGAAAATGCAAGATGGAGTGTTCCTATGACTTCTACAGGAAAAAAATAAATAAAATCATTTAACAAAGGATTTGTAGCCTCTTTTGCCACAGCCATGGCAAAGGCTGTTTTTCATTTTTCCATATTTAAGACATTTTAACCGTTCTCCACCCTACAGGATAAGAATTTTACAGCCTGTCAATGGAAGCCACAGTAATTCTACTGGCACTCACAGATCTTTGGGATTAAGGCAAAGAATATTTGTTGATGGGCCATTTGAAAGAAAAAGGGCTACTATCTGTAATGGTAATGTGCAAACAGAGTCTTAGAGAAACAGGTAAAACTCCAGAAAAAGTTGGGAGTACATTCCCTGAATGCAAACTCACTAGTTATATTTAAGTCAATCTTGAAGAATAAGGCCCTGGAGAAACAATGAGCTCACTTTCCTGACCTTTCCTTTCAAAAGTTAATGGGTTAAGGGGAAACTTAATTTATTTGGCCCAAGATGCATAAAGGAACCTCAAGAAACTAAAATGGACATTCTATAGGAAAGATTTGTTTTGAATATCAATGTATGACCAGCACAGAACAGGTACTTAAAAAAAAAGACATTGTCAAATAAATGAATGAACACATGGGCAAACAAAACAACAGACAGAGCTCTTGCCGCTTTTCTGGGCCTTAGGAGAGAAGACATCTGGGCCAAAACTCTGAGCCAGCCTTGTAGGGTCCCTGTAGAACTCCAGATACATATGGGTTTGCTGGTTATCTTATGGGTAAATGGAGGTAATTACCCCAAACCTGCCTATCTCACAGATGATTATAAGAGCTGAGTACAGTACAAACACAAAGCATTATCTTTATCTCAAATAAAAAATCAGAACATCTACTGAAATTCAATATGAAGAAGAGGAATCATTCTAATTGCCAAAATAACCACTTCCATTCTCTCCCTAAATGTTGTCTGTTAAAGTCACCAAGAAAATGGTTGCAGACAGGGCTACGATGGTTTGTGTCTACCCTGGGAACAATCTCCACAATTGGAAGGGATGCCTACCTCCAGCTTGATGAGAGAATTCCTTCTGTCAAGAGGACATGGGGCAAACTTCTATAAATGTACATGTACCCTTTTATCTCCACATGCAGTTCTTCCTGCCTTAAAAACAAATGGGACTTCTTTGAGTTGGGAAAATTGCAATCAACCATTATCACTCACATAAAGAAAAAAATTAAAGGCATACTTATTATTACACTATATAGTATATTATTGTAGTAGTTATTTTTGTTAAATAGTTGGTAGGCTGTCAGGTGTAAGGGAATCTGTATGGCCCCAAGGTTAGAATTAGGTATGCGATGAAGGTTCATGGGAAAGCTGGGGATAGGGGGAGTGGTAAGGGGGAGGGGGGCAGGTCTGGATAAGAAGAAACCTGAGTGAATCCACTTGGCCACTGGGCCCATCATGGGAAGTTTTCTCGCAGAGTCTGAGACTGTACAGGGATTCCAGAGGGGAGGGAGGGAAAGAGAGTATCCCAGCACTGGGAGAGGAGGTAGGGTGATATCCTCCAGCGCATGTTGCTAATTTCAAGTACAGCCCCTGCTATGTGCATGTCAGATCCATGGGCACGCAGAGACAATAAAATCAGATTTGTGCTTAAGATTTATTTATACTTAATATTACAAAGTATTTTAGGACAGTTTTTCTTTACATGATGTTCCCTGGGACCCTTAGGGATCAGGAAATGCCCCTCTGGGACACTGGTAAAGGGAGACTGAGAAAGTAGGGTCAGCCTCCCTATTTGTACCCTCCCCTCCTCATTAACCAAAGAGATTATATTATCTAGTAAAATATTGCACTTATTTAAAATTTTCTTTCTTTGCCTTGGACTGAAAAAAATAGAAAGAAAGAAGAGAAAAATGGTTAGAAAGAGAACTGGACCAAGGAGGGTTCACGCTCTGTCCTTCAAACTCTTAGGGCCTTAGTTTTATCCCATCAGAATGAGAAGAGTGAGGCCAAGATGCCTTCCATCTGTGAAATGTTAGGGTTCTGTGATTCTACAAGTCTGCAGAAACATCTAACCTCTAGAGAATTTTAAGAAAAAACTATAGTACTTTTTAATGTAATTAAGACTATCCTTAGAACCAAAATTCCTTTTTAACAGCTTATAAAATTTTCATTATCTTTTCACAACCTTCCTGATATTTAATTTAGGGTACAAAGCAGTGCCAGTGACCTTCTCTGGGAGCCTCAGTTTGCTCACCTGAGCAGTGCTGTGTGTCTTCTCAGGAAGGGACACACACAAAGTGCTTGACAAAGTTCTGTTAGGCAATGAGCTTACAATGAACAGGAGGGGCCATTATTACTTTAAATTATCCCCCCAAGCTAGAGCCGTGTAAGTAACAAGACAGGCTGGAAGTTCACTGTTGGGATTTTTTTCCCCAAAGTTAATTGCTTTTGGATCTTGGGATCTGGTCACCTAAGCTGATTGTTTCAAATAGTGTGAAAGCTCCCAAATGTTCTGACTCCAAGTGTAATTCCTCATTCTGAGAAAAAATCTGGAATTGGAAAGAAGTGATTGTCTTACTCTGCACAATAACCCTGGGATATGAAGGCAGGGGGCCTCCACCAGGCTGGCACAGGGAGCATCCCCCGACCCCAAGATGAATCCACCACTGAGGGCTTCTCCACAAGGAATACAGAATAAAATCCACTCGTCAGCATAAACTTATATAAGGCCCCAAATCAACCTTACTGTGTTAAGACATTTCACTCTGAAGTCTCTGAGAGCAAGGACACAGTTTTCAGTTTGGTGCTGACATGCGCAGTGGGACATGCGGCTTGAGCGCATTTACTCAGGGAGAAGCAGGCTTTGAAGGGAGCCTTCCCTTGTGCCTTCATCCAGCCCCTGGCTAGTCAACAACAAACACCTACTGAGGGCCAGGCACTACCCTAGGGGCTGAGGCTCCAGCAACAATGAGCTGGGACCTTACAGTCCAGTGTGCATGATCACAAGTGTACTAGAAAGTAAGCAGGCACACCGTTGTGGCTGCCTAGCCTGCGTCCTTAAGGGGACACATGGTACTGAGCCACACACCCAGACACGAGAAAGGTTTGGTGGACAACTGCCCAGCTGAGACTTTGAAAAAGTTCTGGTGGTGGCCTGAGTTTCAGAGTATCTTGGGTGATCATTACCAGCAGAAATTCCAGAGGACTGAAGGTGCCTCCCTTTGAATTAGAATGTTTTGTAGCCTGGGAAGGAATAATTTCACTATGGCAGGACTTAAATAAACTAGGTAAGTGAAATGGTTTCTGGCTTGACAACATTCAAGGCAGAATCAGTTAACATGGCTAGGCTAGATTCCCTGCTTTTTCATTAAGTCCTACTACAAAAAAGATAAATAAATGCCAAGATAAACAAGGTTCAGGCCCTATCTTGAGGAGCCAGAAGTCTAGAGAGTCACAAAGGTCAATAAATGATCATGTTAAGTTCAGTGAGTGTTACAACAGGAGAAGGAACAAGACACTACAGGAATGGTACAATACAAGGGGAAAATAGAGAAATAGAATAATAGTTTAAAGCCAGGAGAGAGCTTGGAGAACATCCCTCCCCTTCTACCGCTTCACAAATGCGGGAACAGAACCTAGCCCGAGGAGGGCAGGGATTTGCCTCATGACAAAGCTGGGCAGTCGAGGGCTTAGAGTTTATCTCCTGCTGTGTGAAAAATCAATGTTATATGTCTGAACTGACCCCTGGCAAAGAAAACAAGTTTAAAAAAAAAACAAATAAAAAGGGAATGAAATAAAATACATTCTGAAACGGCAAAGCCACATTTCACCAAAAATACCTTTGCTTGTTTTAAAAATGTGTGTAGCCTAAATGATTATAATGGATTTGAACAGAAAAGGTCTTTTTCAACTAAACACACAGTGATCTATCACTGGCATGACGTGTCTACAAATATGACCTTCAAGTTGTCACCAGAACATGACGGATTCCCAAATGTGGAAGCTGTCTAAATAGAGACTTGACTTTGAAGTTCCCTGCCTTCCATGCTGGCTCAGGCTGCTCTGCCAAAGATCTGCATTGGTCTGTTTTTCTACCCACTGGTCTGTTTTTATGTTATTAGTAGTAAGACTGCTATTACTTTTTTTAACTTTGTTTTTGCCAAGGGTCAGTTCAGATGTATAACATTAATAGGTGTCACTGATCCTGATTCACTGAATTCTAGAGCTACAGATTATTTGAAATTATGGTGCCAAATGCCTCATCACAGAGATGAGAAAAGGACTTGGAGAGGTCACAGTTGCCAAGCTTGGCTCAGGGCTAAGACCAGAACCTATGTTTTCTCATCTCCAGTCCCTCTGTGATTGTCTCCACTTAGTTCTGTATTAGTTTTATCAAGCAGCATAATGATGGGGTGGGATGGTGTGTCTGTGGCATCTTGCAGTGTGTTCTTGTGGCTCTATTCCCGTACACCCTGGGGTTCTCTGAAGCATCTCTGGGGTCCTTCTTCTCTCTAAGGCAGCCTCCAGTGTGTGGCTTCTGCCTCTGGCTCGTTGGTTCCCAGAGTGCTTCCTGCCACACTGGTCCTGCCAGCTGCTTTGTAGGCAAAACAATTGAGAGACTCTGATCACCATCTCCCCATGGAGATTCTCTGTACTCAGTGACATATTAAATGCTCTGAAAAGGTCTGCAGAAAGGGTCCTTAATTAAACTGGCTTCCCAGAGAATCCTTTCCTAATGCTATTTATGCCTTGGGGTATGGGTTAGGTGGTGCTGTATTAGCTAATGGCAGGTATGCCATCCTTGCAACATAATTTGGCAAAGAACCAAAGGCTAAAAAGGCCAGTAATGACTTCCCAAATATGCAAATAGAGCCCAAATACCTGGAAATCTCTTTTTTTGTTTTGTTTTGTCTTGTTTTCATTTTAAATTTGAGATTCAAGGGTTCTATAAATTTATGACTTGGGCAAGTAGTAAGGATCATGCAAATGCTAATAAGACACTCCTCAGTTTTCAAACTCATTACTATGCTTGGCTATTCAGAAATGACAAACTTCTTAAAGTCAGTACCACGATTTGTATTATAAAACCGTATGGTTAAATTTTAAAAACCTTTCCACCAGAGGTGCTGTCAAACTCAGTCCAGCATCGTGACTCTGGTGAAACCTGGAAAGACTTGGTAAGACGAAACTGTGGTGATACCAGAAATGTATCAAGGACAAGAGAGGCATTTTTTTAAAAAAGAAAGAAACATACCTGACTGTTGTTATTGAACCATATGGCTACTTACTTATTTTGGGGTGTACAGTTTTGTCTTGTAGCCTTTAAAGCATGGGGATAGGAGGAGGGAAATGAAGATGGACAGCTCTAAAGCTCCTGCGCTTGCTCTGAGGTAACCTGGGTTATTTCAGGCTGTCCTTTCCAGGACCCCTACTTCATTCTAAGGAGTCTCCTGGGCAGCCTCCTACAGCTAATCACAAACCCACAGTATAAAAGGCAGTAGAGGCCAGGTAGGCCCCCATGAGTTATCCGAGGCACCCCTCCAGAAAGGCCTCCGTACTCTATCTTTCACACCAGAAGCTTATCTGGCAGGGCCCAGGGCATGTTCAGAACTTAGAACTGTAATGAGGCCTGACTTCCGCCAAGGACAGATCCTTCCTGCCTAGTTTACCATAGCTCTGCCTGTTGCTTTAGCTCTCTTGGAGCAACCTCATTACGAAACATATTAAATGTCCAGTGAGTACCAGGGGCTGAAGGGGCAGGCAGTGGATGTGGTCACTGGCCTCAAGGAGGTGACCATTCAGGCTGATTACCTGACTCTGGAACTTGAAGGCAAGAAGATGGTCCACACTAAGCTCTCCCCTCATCCCTGGCCCTTGAAACTCCTTGTTCCTTGCTGTGACGGGGCTTTCTTCCTCATCCCAGAGTCCTAGTAAATCTCTTTGTTTATGGAACAAATTATACTGCTCATGTCAACTCTAGCAGTTTGACGCTGGGCCCACTGCAGGAGAAGACTGTCGCCATACCAGTGAGATCGAATTACAATAAGAAAATGATGCACATGGTAT